TGCATTGAAGAGGGAGGATAAGCCAGACGCACGCTAGGACATTGGTGGAGTTTCCAAGAATGGTTTGAATCGGCGGCCGACATGTATAAAGCTCTCTGCGGGCTCTCCTTCCCCTCGTTCTCTGCCACGCGCCCTTTTCCACAGACCCTAAATAATCATTATCCTGACCGAGTGCTCCGAATTCTTGTAGTCAATGCCCCTCGGTAAGATCGTGCTCAGGTTCTCGCTTGATACGTGGCGGCTTCTTTTTGTCTGTGAATGCAAAAAAAGTGCAACCTCTTACGCATTTTCCGATGCCCTTTTCCTCTTCTTCCACTTCCATTGGTGTGCACAGGTTTTTTGGTCCGATTTTCAGGCTTCTGTCTACTGTAATGCCCGCGTCAGTACGAGACCAATTCCAAATTTGCTCCTCACCAGCAGATGTCGAAAAATTTATTTCCCCAGATGTCCTTCCCGTAGAGTATGGAGGCAAGAATTCACTTAAATTCGGACAATCTGAGGAGGAGGTAAGTTTGCGGGCACTTGTGGACAGAAACAACGCGGAAGGTGGGGACAGGCAGATGGATAAATGAAGTTACTGACAGAGATGCTATCTACTAGAGGACATGGAGATGAGGCACGTCCCATAAAGAAATACTTTGTATTCCAAATGAAAGTCATTTCATTTTTTTTACCTTTTTCATAAAGGTTTAATTTCCTCAGTAAGGTGTATTTTTCCATGGTGACCCCCTCGATAACAGTGAAGAAACCACAGGCATGGCCATGTAGGGCGTCTACTCGGAACGTACCGTACACAAAATCGTCATTGTCCTTCGAGGCATTCTTTCCATGATCCAGATTCAAAGATCGCCATGCTCCCAAGCTTCACAAATCACATTGAAAAACACGTACTCTTCCTGTCCTTCCGTAAGGTTTGCATAGTTACGGAATACAAAGCCACTTTTGCGGCCCGGCGGGCGCTGAGAGGAGGGGGAGGATGACCGGAAAGACCGCAGGGAGGAAGTTGCTTCTGCAATCTTCCCCCCAGTTGCCGTGCACGCCGTAGGAGACCAGATCAGCAGGAACCCAGACGTCGTAAAACAGACAAGTACTGCGTTTGAACACACTTTTCTATTGATAATCACGTGGCCGACTCAGCAGTATGGTATCTTGCAGTCTTGAATCCTTGATATGGTAACTCAAAGTCTTCTTGTCCCTCCTAAACAGACGGTTGTGCAGTGAGGGCTCACCGGTGCGAGGTGGCTTTGGCGTTGACACATTCACTACTATTTTGGCCAAAAGAACGAACAAGAAAAGCATACGACGCAGTCAAGCATGGCACGCTCGGCGTAGAGATACATTCGGAAAAGTTCTTCTCGGGTCTCTTGTCCGAGTAAGGTGTGGTGATAAACCGCCTGCGACTGACCTCCTTTGAACTGCTTTAACACGGCAATGGGGTGGTCCAAGCCTTCACAGGCAAGCGGAGGCCTCTTCCGGCGACATCGATGTCCCGTACTAGCTATCCTCCTATGTATTTATGCAATTGTTGTCGAATCTTTTTTGATTCCGACGTCGTCCAGGGCGACTGCGGTCCTAAGAAAAAGAACAGGGGCTGCATTAAATTCGCAGCTAGTCCGGAAATCAACGGTACGTTGCATCTGCGGCGTAAAGGCTTTAGACGACCATGTGGTTTTTGGAGGTGCACTATAGCACATTCCCTTATCGTGTTGCTGCGAAGTCATTTGTCACGATGTGCCGGGACAGCTTTTTAGAAGAATAAGAATCTTCCCCCCTGCGTGTCGTGCGCCCACTAGTCTCCTTCCTTTTCCATTGTCTCTATAAAATGTGACACCGTGACCGTATTTCGACTTCCGTCCCTAAAATATTACAGGTACAACCTCGAGAGCCCCTGACTACCTCGGGCGGCAGCAGCCCGCCGGCTACCGCTGATCCTCCCCATCCCCCTGTCGTCGCGCACGCTGTTGCTGCGGAGACCCTTCTTCCTCCCTCCTATTTCCAAAGTCTGCCTTGGACCCGATCAATCACGGGCGATGGCCCGGAAACCCTGCTCTACATGCCTTTCTTAGAAGCGCAGATGCGGCATTTGGAGGCACAGGGCGGCTTCGTCCGTCAGCTTCCCGTTCCAGAGAATGTGGCGTACACTCGTGCGGCGAAGAAGGCATCGCAGATGGGTAAGGAGAGCTTTAATTATGGGACTGAGAATGGATGGACGGAGGTAGTTAGGGAGACAAGGTGTGCTCCATGGTTCTTTGTAGCGTGGGGCGTACCTTATCTCTGTCGCTTCGATCCATCCGAGCCTGGTACATCTTTTTTTATCCTCCTGCTAGATCCGCACCCTCCTCCCTCACACACTCCCCACGTTTTCATCCTTCCCTTCCTCCATCCCTACAGGAAGTTTCTGTGTGGAGACGGAGGACTTTCGAAAGATCCGCTTCACGTACATGGATGGTGGCAAGGGTCTACAGGTGTTCAATTCTGTGTGGTACCCCCGTTTCGACACGGACGCCCCCATCCTCGGCATCGACCTGTTGCTCTTCGCGGGGCACAAGATGCTGGCCGTGGTTGATTTCCAGCCGCTCTCCCAGGAGGCGGCATACAAGCAACGCTTCATCAACCAGCTTGGCCCCATCAAGGCGAAATACCCGGCTCTGAATGAGGCCATGAGCAACCGATACTACGAGGACACGCGCTGGTTCTCAGAGCACATGCTCTTCGGGCGCTTGAAGGAGTCGAGTCAAGTCCAGTCCACCCTGTTCCCGGCCTTCATGGAGTATCTCACCGTTTATTCGGACACGGTCCGGCGCTCCCGCGGATGCGTGCCGGATGCAGAGGTGGAGGAACGAGTGGTGTCGAGACACCGTGCCTACGACGAGTACCAGCTCGTTCACGACCCCGCCCACGGCCTCTTCACCGGCTACTTCGGCGCGCAGTTCGCCCATGACATGCTGACCTTTCAATTCGACATGGCGGACCCGGCTTTGTTGTTGCAGAAAAAGAAGCCCCAGCAACCGTCCCATCAGCAGAGTGGTCAGTGAGGCGGGACCAGGGACGGTTGGTGAATGATCTTGAATCTTGGTTTCCCCTCCAGGGTCCCCAGACTCTGAGTATCATGAGAATGAACGGTATGACAGTAAGATAGATGATTGACAACCCGACGCCCGATGACGTCGGGCATGGGAGAAGGGAAGTACCCCTTGAATAACAGCCTCCGGAGCCTGTACGGTTTAAGATGCCAAGCTACAACTTTGAGATGAAGAAGGCTAAGAGATCGCTGGACACGTGTCTAATCGCTGCCCAATTTCACGGGATGATGAATTTGTTGTATATCCCTGAAGAACGCCGTCAAGCAGGCTCCACACAGGAAGCATGTGAAAAATCAACTCCTGCTACGATAGAACACGAGTGCGAAAGAAAAAAGAGTCATCCAGCCTGCTCGACACCATTGTGAAAATGCCACTTATAGTTTTGTATTTCCCAATAATACTGATCACATTAAATTGTGATGTGCATCGGCTCAATTTTTTTGGTCGTCTCGGCCCAGGAGCTACTAGTTCTAGGTGCGTTTTATTTCGGATTTCGAAATTGCTCTGACACCAGAAGAGCTACACATGCAAGCCGACTCCGCAAGATGGGTACATGAGACCGCTCAAACCTTTTCCTGTCTAACGGCGACCATCGCCAAGAGTTACGGATTCGGCATGTCCTGCTTCTCCAGGGGGATCCCCAAAATGTCTCCCGGCCTGCCGGCTTTGCTCTGTCCCCTTCCTGATCGTCGTCACCCTAGGCTTAATCTAGTCCTCATCTACACCACAGGGCTGCACGTGGATTTCAGAAAACCGCTCGGTGGACGGACTTTTTGGCACGGGGGGCTGTAAAGCCGGAAGGCCGAGCAGGAGTACTGGGATAAAGTCTCGACGCTATCACTTGCTGCTGCGCTCGTCAAGGTAGGTTACTGCGGAGGCGACAATCTTGAGTGCTTGACATGCGCCGAGAACCGAAGAACCTTGGTGTAACGCAGGCAGGTGTGCTTCCGATACGCTCAAGGATGTCTTCTATGACCAGGAATGCCGGCGATGCCATCAGCCGGTACTTGTGTTACTTCCATGTCGGCCAGCCTGAAAATGCTCCATACTTCATATATTGGATGATTTCCACACTTTCATAGATAACTTCAATGGCGGAACCAACTAGCGCAGAGACTAGCATGAATCACGCTCCTCCAGGTAGGTAGATGATTGCGAGCACCGGTTTGCAAGCACACTCTTTCAAGCCCTCCCCGGAGTTTGCGCGGCATTTGGGCTGCTCTCCTTTCAAAAATTGTTCATTTCCTTTCGTATCTTCCTCACATCCCCCCCATCAATCCTGGGGCCGCAGTCTTTCGTGCAGAAGGAGGCGATACGCCCACAGAGACAAGTCGCAACGGCAGAGGAGCACCAGGAGACAACCCGGAGGCCGACAGCGAATTTGACACCCACAGAGGGGGTTCCAACGCGAGCCTCGCCTTCGGAAGTGAACTACACCAAGGTGAAAACGATGAAGAGGCCGTCAAGTCTCCCTCCTCCGCGGCGGTCGCTGCCCCCACTGCCTCAGGCAAGAGTCGTCCACCCGCATTGAGCGACAATCTTCTACATTCCTCCCTCGCCAACATTAGCATACATTCCTCCCCGGCTCATGACCACGGGATGCTGCCCGGCGCCAGCGGCCACAGGGGGGGGGCAACGGACGTGCCGAGCGCCGTGAAGCTGCTGGTGTCGGCGGGACTGGCAGGCTGCCTGCTTGGCAAGGGGGGGGGCACCATCAACGTGCTCCAGGAGGAGACCGGGGCCCGAATCAAGCTCTCCCAGAACCAAGACTACTTTCCCGGGACACAGGACCGCGTGGTTCTCATATCGGGGGAGGCGGAGACGTGCGTCACCGCCACTCTCCGAGTCATCAAGCATCTGCATGCCAGCGCCGAGGCCCGGTCGGCTGCTGCGGCCGTGAGGGCGGTGTCCCTACGGGCAGGAGAAGAGGGAGGCGTAGAGGACGTTTCTTCAAAAGAAGCCTACAGAGAAGCGGGGACAAGAGACGGGCTCGGGGCGGGAGGCTCAGGGCGGCCAGTGCCGGCAAAGGAAGTGCCCGGGGCCTCTTCGCCGCCCTCCCCTTCCTCTCCCTCTCCCTCGTTGCCGACCTCCGCAGATTCCTTTAGCGATGGCGACGAGAGCAACAGTCATGGGAGCGAGGCGCCGGGGGAGGGCGTGGGCCGCGCATCCGCCTCGGTCAAGCTCCTGATCGCCAAGGCGGCGGGCGGGCTCGTGATTGGCCGTGCCGGGAGCACCATCAAAGCGCTCAACGAGGAGACCGGGACTCGCATCCAGCTTGCGGCAAAGGACGAGGCCAGCGGGATGGTCACAGGCGAGAGGGTCGTGACCATTGCGGGGGCCCTCCCAGGCGTTCTGCGAGGGGTGGCCCGCCTCTTGGAGAAACTGAACGAGGAGCCCGAGCTCGCGCGCTACCAGAACATGACCACCTCCTACTCCCGCACTGGGGCAGCCGTCCACTCCATGCATCCCGCCTTCGACCTCCCCACCTACCAGACCCAGTCGTTCGCAGACACCCAGATGCTCTTCTCCCCCCAAGGCCCGGCCAGCACCCGTGGGCACGCCCTCAACTTGAGCCTGAGTGGGAGCGAGGGCCAGCGAGGCCACCTGTCTCGGTCCCAGGGGCTGGGGCATAGTCAAGCCAGGCAGAGCCAGCTCCACTCGCACGGCCCCGCCCCAATCCCGCTGTCAGCGCCCCTGTCTGCTTCCCACCCCCTCTCCTACATGCACCCCCCCCCGGACTCGCGGGCCGCCCCACCCCCCGCCTCGCCCCCTTCCCCCCCCACGCACCCTAGCGCCCTCCACAGCGCCAGGCAGGCTCCTCCTCGGCACCACGGCAGCGGTCCGCCGTCTGGGCACTCCTCTCCGTCCCTCATGCCGCAGCATCTCCTTTACACGGGGCATGCCCCTCCTTCCTACCAGCACATGGCCCCTGCCTTCCTAGCGATGCAGGCAGCACAGGACGCCGCCACAGCCGTGCTGACCCTCCAAGTTCCCGACAAGCTGATCGGCTCCATCCTCGGCCGGTCGGGCGTCACGCTCAAAAAGATCCAGTCCGACTCTGGGGCGCGCATCAGCATCAGCAAACGGGGCGAGTTCGCGCCCGGGACACAGAACAGGGTTGTGACGATCGACGGACCGGTCCAGTGCACGGAAGTGGCGAGGGGGATGGTGGCAATGGCGGTGCAACAGGCCAGCATGGGCCCCCTGCAAGGGAGCTACTGAGAGAACAAGGATCGGGAGGAAGGAGGCAGGAGTGGTACTTGGATGTCTGGACACGTTTTGAGTCCGAGTCCCGCACCTTCTCTTTGAGCGAGGCGGTGCTTGGCAGGCCCTGCGAGGCTGGGAGCGGTGTGGGAGTGGGGATGGGGCCGCGAGAGCGACGCGAAAGAGTGAGGCCCTGAGTCGTAGTTTGGTGGCCGCCGGCGGGAGGTGGAATTGAAGGCAGGGCCTACGCGGATGAGGGAAGCAGGCAAGGACGGGAGGCAGGTGTCTCGACGGGAATGACGGGGACTGCCTGGAGGGATACGAAAGGGGGCTGTCGGCCCATGCAATCTCCCGCACGGCCTGTTCATGCTCTACTCCCTCTCTTCTTTCTGGCGGACTGCAAGGCTGTAGACGAGAGGGCGGTGGATGAGTAAGGCTCCGTACAAGGGTCATCACCCGCAATACACGGGCCTTGCCCGAGAGGCTAAGCCAGCACACAGAGTAGAGAAAGCATCAGGTCGCCGTGGGAGGGATTCGACTGGCTCCTTCGGAAACGAACGGCAATGTATACGTGTAAAAATAAAGAAATGTCAGCATGCGTGATTCGCAAACGATATTGGTATAGCAGGAACCGCCAGACTCTACGACAAGAAGCCACCAGATTGCAAAGATTTCTTTCCCTTTTTGAGGGCTCTATCCAACAATGTGAAAAAAAGCTGGAAGTCCCTCAAAACAATCGGAATAATCCTTTTTCCCTGCTTTCATCGTGTGTCTTCCATAGAGCGGGGTGCCTTCTCCTCTTCCTATCAAGTCGAAGCGCAACGCATAATGTACAGTCTATATGCATGACATGGCCGCCAACGAAGCCTCCTTCCAGTCTTTTTGATTGCGTGATCAGTCGTAGCTCTCATGGGGCTGCGTCTCACAGCCTGGAGCATCCACGTTCTCGGAAGAACAACACCACCAATGATGGACAACCTTGCGGCCCTCCCCATTATTCTCGCCAGGAGGCAGCCAACGTTGGGCTGTCTCTCCAGAATAGGAATGAGGGTGGTAGCGGCAGGCCCGCTTGTCATTGTGTTTAGGGTCAAACTGCGTGTGGCATCTCTTGCACGTCCGAAGGAGCGGTGAAGGTGGCAGAGCCTTCTCAAACTCCTTGCGGAGGCCGTCCATATGCCCGCCTTTCCTGTGGAAGAAAGCAAGGGGAAAGAACAACACGCCATCAGTCTACGTACGGGAAACTTTTCGGTGCGAAAGACTGTCATAAAAAGGGCATGCAAGGGCCAAACGAAATATATAACGGGGTTCAGGGAAGCACATGCAGTAGGAGGTTACAGTCTTAGGGTGGGGAGGAAACAAACATGGCAACAGAAAATGACTCCCGGGCAGCCGAGATGCCTTCCATGTCACTCGCTCTAAGTGCTCTCGAAACCTTTGCGCCGCATTGGTCCTTTACCTTCTTGATCCCCCCAAAAACTCGCCCAAGCTATTTCTCGTGCCTGACCAGCGCGGAAGCAGCGAGCGAGTTGAGGCGCCCAAGCCGACGCCCGTCTGAGAAAGATTCCCCCCGTCCTAACTTCATGCTTGGCACGTTGGTGCGGTCCGCACCGTCTCTGGGAGGCTGGGATCCTATGCATGACAAGTCCGGGTGGCCTTTTGTTTCGACGCGTGGTCTCGTCCACCGGATTCCTTGGCTGCGCATGAGAGGGCCTCTCTTCTTAACCCCGCCCGACAACTCACATGCCTTCATACACACCTCTGCGTGGACATCAGGCAATTATAAGGAAAGCAGCACGATGGCTCCTCTTTCCACGGGCGACGTTGTCAAGAGCTACAGCCTTAACCCGCGGATTCAGGTATGTAGCTTGGGCCTTTGAAATGTTAACAAACGGAGAAGCGCGTCTCACCCTTGGGAACCAAGTGGAAAGCCCTTGGCGCTGGAGGTCGCGCAGGACCGTGCACGAGGGAACGGGAAATCATGTGTGCTTCGAGGTCGTCTTGGAGGAAGAGTGTAAACGAAGGACCAGCGTTGTGTTTTTTCACGTGCCCGCAGGCTGTGTTTGAAGCGATGTGATATTTCGATCCAATTCGTAGTTTGTTGTTGCGACGCGTCCGTGAGAACATATTTACGGCGCGTGACCGCTCCGAGCCCCAGTCACCATGGAAACCCATTGAATTCTATTCTCCTCGCGCGCAGTACTCGACTATCCAGGGCGTGAACGGTCCCCTGGTCATCCTGGACAATGTGAAGTTGCCTAAATTCGCGGAGATCGTGAACTTGACCCTGGGTAATGGGGAAAAGCGCCAGGGACAGGTGCTAGAGGTGGCGGGGAAGAAGGCCGTGGTGCAAGTCTTCGAGGGAACGTCGGGCATCGACAACCGGCATACGACGGCGGAGTTCACGGGGGATGTGCTGCGCACCGCTGTTTCTGAAGAGGTCCTAGGCCGCTCCTTCAACGGTTCTGGCAAGGTCATCGACGGCGCCCCCCCTGTCCTTCCAGAGCAGTACCTGGACATCAACGGGCAGCCGATCAACCCTTCCTGCCGTGACTACCCGCGTGCCATGATTCAGACGGGCATTTCCGCCATCGACGTGATGAACTCCGTGGCGCGGGGGCAGAAGATCCCGATTTTCTCCGCCGCCGGCCTTCCCCACAACGAGGTTGCCGCGCAAATCGCCCGCCAAGCCTCGTTGGTTAAGCTTAAGGACTCGCTAGACTCGCACGACGACAATTTCACGGTGGTGTTCGGCGCCATGGGTGTGAACATGGAGACGGCTCGCTTCTTCCGCACCTCCTTCGAGGAATCGGGGGCGATGCAGCGCTCTGTCCTCTTTTTGAACTTGGCGAACGACCCGACCATCGAGCGCATTATCACCCCCCGTCTGGCCCTGACCACGGCGGAGTATTTGGCCTACGAGCGCGAGATGCACGTGCTCATCATCCTCACAGACATGTCCTCCTACTGCGACGCCCTCCGAGAGGTGTCGGCGGCGCGAGAGGAAGTGCCCGGGCGGCGTGGCTACCCCGGCTACATGTACACAGATCTCTCTACCATCTACGAGCGCGCCGGCCGCATCGTGGGCAAGAACGGCTCCATCACCCAGCTCCCCATCCTGACCATGCCCAACGACGACATCACCCACCCCATCCCCGACCTGACGGGCTACATCACCGAGGGCCAGATCTACCTGGACCGGGCGCTCCACAACCGAGAAATCTTCCCGCCCATCAACGTCCTCCCCTCGCTCTCGCGCTTGATGAAGTCGGCCATCGGGGAGGGGATGACCCGCAACGACCACGGCTCGGTTTCGAACCAGCTGTACGCCAATTACGCCCTGGGCAAGGACGTGGCCGCGATGAAGGCCGTGGTGGGAGAGGAGGCACTATCGCTCGAGGACCATCTGTACCTGCAGTTTGTGGACAAGTTTGAAGGGAAGTACATCAACCAGGGGTCAACGGCCAACCGCACCGTCTTCGAGTCCCTGGACCTGGCCTGGTCCCTCCTCCGAATCTTCCCCCGCGATCTCCTGAAGAAGATCACCAAGAACGAGCTCAACACCTACTACGCTCGCAGGACAGCCGCGGGGGCGGGCGTGGGGGGAGAGGAATCAAAAGCGGCGAAATAGGGAAGGAGAGAGGGAAGAGATAGGAAGTAGGAGACGGTCAGGGTCAGGAGAGGGCGCAGACGGGGGTGGAGGGGAAGAGGCAGTGGGAAGGCAGGCAAGGAGAGACGGGAAAGGAGCGAGGGAAGGGTGTTGAGAATGTGGATATGGGGGCGCGTTTCTGCCCGGACGACTGGGTTGCTTTGATGGAGAAGGCGGTGCCCTGGGAAAGGGAGGGTCGCAGGTCATTCAGGGGGGACGAGCTTGAGGCTCGGATGAGAGCTTCGTTTGTGTGGGAGAAGGATAAGATTATCAAAGGCATCGCACGCAGATTGTGGAATCAAATATTGAGCACATAACCTAGACGGGTTGAAAGCGCGAGTTGTCGCTAGCTGTAGCTTGTTCCTTCTTCTTTTGGACCGCTACTGTAAATCATTTTTTCATTCACTCATTTTCATTCACTCATTGAAGGTGTCATAGGGGATATTGAAATTTCGCATTTCATCCAGGCCTTCTACTTTTAGTCTCCTGTCGTTCTAACTCACTGCATGATTTGACATCGCCACATATTGGCACCGTTTCGTGAACGCAGCAAGGCTGGATACCTGTAAATATTCAAACGAGAGCTAATTCGTCGAGACGCATAGACATCTCGCTTCTCAGTCCACCCCATATCTATTTTCTCTGGCATGTAATCATTTCGCCAGAGAAAAATGACCTTAATACCCCCAATAATTTCTGTCGAATTGTTGACATAATGACTGTCCTCCACAGGCCGACACATATAGACCGATGGAAAGTGCTGTCATCAAAAATGGATCATGGAAAAACTAGACATCTGTCAA